ACATGAGTGACAACGAAGATTAACATTTTCCGCTATACAACGAGACTGGGTTATAGGCTGAGGAGAAGATCGACCCATTTGGACCTTCCCCTAGCCTTAAGATGGGAAAAAAGGGAGGGGATACCAAGAGACCAAGTGGGGAAGTTGCCCTGGTCATCCCTTCACAGTATAAGCTTGGGTAAGGTCAGAAGTCTACAATGGCTCATCCTCCACGTGGCCCTCCCAGTCAACTCTTGGTTGTATGAAAGAAGAAGCAGGCAAGCTAGGACAGAGGAGGAACGAAACTGTACCCAGTGTACGGATGGGGCTCTGGAAACGATGGTCCACTGCTTAATCTCATGCCCGGAGGCAGAGAAGGTGTGGGCGTTAGCTCGCGCACTATGGTCCCAGGTCACGGATGTTCCCTTCCCTCCGATCAGAGACAGACTCCTAATCAACATGGAAGCGCCCAGAGACAGGAATTCCTGCCAAAAATACATTTTCCGGCTACTGAGGCTCTACGCACTGTGGACAGTGTGGAAAAGAAGATGCCAAAGGGTGGTAGGAGGGAATCATATGACTATAATGGAAGCCAGAGGAATAATGTACAACCTGCTGGAAACAGAAATCAGGGCACAATGGCAAAGAGCCAAGAAGCAAGCGGAGAGGCAGGAAGAACTAAATCCAGATAAGGCTAAGGAAATAATTAACAAGTTTCGGACAAAGGTTCTAGCAGGGGGCAAGGTGGCTTCATTGGAAGGGAAAGCCTTGCGCTTCCATTGGTTTAAGGATGATCTCCAGGACCCGCCATATGAGGACGAGAATGGGGACCAGGAGCTTGGACTACCATAAACAGCGGGAGGGAGGAGCGATCTGAAGGGGGAGAATAAGGGACAAGGGACACCAATTAAAGTGTCAGGGGAGGAAGCAGGGTTTAGGGTTTAGGGTCTTACAACACTTAAAAGGCAGAGAAAGGGGGTTTAGGGAACAGGGGGGAACACAGCTTTTGTGAAGAATTGGTAAAAAGAGGAAGGTAGATCACATGGCAGCAAGGGAGGATCTCTTCCTAGGTTGAACAGGGATTTCAGGCAGATCTGTTAGGGAAGATCTGAGAGGGAAGAGAGACTCAGGCAAGCTGACAGTCAATCCTCCACCAAGGGCGGAGTAATCAATGCTGTTCAGGGGTCCTCCGGCCAGACGGGAGGAAGCGTGTGTTCTTACTATGTAATGTATTATGCTGTGACTTGCCGGTGGAATAGGAACCGGACTGACGCTCCCCAGAATAGAAGGAGCTAGGTCCATAAGGACCTATTTTTTGGGGGAAAAAAAAATAAAAATAAATGACTTTTGCCTAGCTGACAGTCAATCCTCCTGATAGGGAGTAATCAATGCTGGTCAAGGTTCCTTCGGCCAGACGGAAGGAAGCGTGTGAGTGTTCACCATTCTCGACTTGCCGGTGGAAAGGAACCGGACTGACGCTCCCCAGAATGGATATGGAGCCAGGACCATAAGGACCTGTTTAAAAAACAAACAAACAAACAAACAAACAAACAAACAAATGACTTTTGCCTGAGGGCCACGTCGAAATTCCTTGTTAATTTTAAGATAGAAATAAAGGAGAAAACATGAGTCCAAATGTACCCTTTCAACCCCTTTAGTCATTGTTTATACCCCCCAACCCCCCCTGGATGACCCATCACCAAAACCGAAGTTAAGACCGGATTCTGACTGCTTAGGCCAAGCGCAGTCCTAGCCTGAAGTCGGTTTTTTTTTGGGGGGATTCTTGCCTCTTTTTTGACCTGTCTGGTTTTGCCAGGCGACCCCCCCCTCTGCCCGACTGGCCCAGGCATGCCTAGCCGGGTGACGGCCCAACATAGGCAAAATTCCCAAACTCTAGAAACAAGTCCAACCGAACATTTCCCCGAGAAAACGGGAAGAGTTCCAGAAGAATTGACTCCTGAATGGCAAAGTACCGACGATGCCTTTTTTCCCTGGAAACAGAGAAGTACACTGAAATGGCTCCCTTGAACCCATGGCATATAGTCCCAAACAAGGCACCCCATCCTTTTTTCCGTTTCGTTTTCCATAAATCATAACTGTGGCAGTCCCCCAACCTCACCGAGGATCAGGGTTGCATACCAGCCGATGGTGAACGCAACTGCCGACCGTTCTGCAGCCTGCCGGTAGAGCTGACTAGTCGGCGGTCTGCCAACCAGTCGCTAGAGGGCCATCCACTGATTTTTTTTACACCTGAGTTTGGGGCTGTCCTGAGCTTGCTGAGTACAGCCCAAATCTGCTGAGAACTTCACTTTTGGGGAAGGGGGCTGTGGGGGGTGGGGGGTATGGAGAGGTTATGCGGCATGTGGGGTTTAAGGGGGCTGGAGAAGCATTTAAGAAGGGGTGGGGTGGGGTCTAATATTGTAGCCTGGAGGTTCTGGGTTCAACTCCATACTATGCTCATTCATCATGTCTCTAGAGTTCACTTGGGCAAGACACTGCCTGGGGTGGCTCCGAGGAAACATTCGGTTCGGGACTAGTCTGGACTCTGGAGTGGCACACAGGCTGCCAGTCTAGAGTTGGCTTACGGTGGCTCCATGGAAACATTCTGTTCCGGACTAGCCTGGACCATATAATCCAACCATGAAACAGTCCCGACAGGTACTCTGGCTGGTCTAGAGTTGGCATAGGTAAGACACTGCCTAAGGGTGGCTCCAAGGAAACAGACTAGTGGCACACAGGCTGGTCTAGACTCTAGAGTTGGCTTAGGTAAGACATTGCCTAGGGTGGCTCTGTGGAAACATTCGGTTCCAGACTGGCCTGGGATCATAACTCATGATTAACAATAACCAATTGAGGGTGCAAGGGGGGATGGGCCGGAGGTCTTCCCTGACAGGAATCGTTCCTGCGACGAACTGGCGTGGGTTATGGAATCGATAACCTTGCCCCCTCAGCATGAACAATAACACAACCCCTAATACCAGGGTTGCACCTCTGCGGATCACGGACCCCGACCGCCGACCGTATTGCAGCCGACCAGCAGGGCCGACCGGTCGGCGGACTACCGACCAGTCAGAAAACAACCATCCACTGATTTTTTTTCAAATCTGAGTTGAGGGCTGTACTGCGCTTGCTGAGTACAGCCCAAATCCGCTGAGAAACTTTTGGGGATGGGGGGAGGTATGGGGCGGTTGGGGTTGGAGTACAGGGGGG